GTACCAACCTGTGAGTTTAAGTTCATCACTACTGTACCAACCTGTGAGTCTAAGTTCTCATCACTACTGTACCAACCTGTGAGTCTAAGTTCTCATCACTACTGTAATAACTGTCATGACCGTCATCTGGCTTGTATCGACTGACAGCCATCTCGGCATGACCTTTGCCCTCAGGACCCTTCATTCGAATGAATTCCATTCGTCCTCGTCCTGTATACTTTCCTAGGGACATCCGTTGAGCTATTCTGGAAGCCATACTTGCCTATGAATAGAAACACAGTAATAAAGTGATAATCAAACAACAGCAGTTTTTTGATTGTTTTTTAAAATGTGAGATAAACAATCACTTATATTTGAGCATCTATATTAAATAAATTGAAGGACAACATGTAAATCTCACATGACATATTTTTCTAAAACTCTAAAAAATCAATTGATCATTAGCAATGCTGAGAGATTTTTGTAAATTGTGAAACCTATGACTGAAAATTGTCTGTGCGTCTTCCCAACAGCCTTCATAGCCACTGTTCATTGCCAATGATCGTCTGCTTCAATGTTTGCAATAATTTCTTTGAGGATTCTGCACTTTGTACATGGTTTTAAGAACATTCAAGATGAGTATAACTTTATAACTAAAAAATTTTGTTTACCTTTCACACCAAGGTTTTCACAAGAAAAAACTAATACATGTAACAAGACATTTTTTTATCTGGGCTGAATGAATATTGTGTAAAGGCATAAAAGTACAAACTTGAAAAGAAACCTGCCCTGAGTCGAAAATCACATCACAAATACATATGTTGTTATTTAGCCAGCAATAGACTGACACCCTTTATCCTTTACATCACCAGAAATATTGAAGAAAATAAGAAAAAATTACAGAGAAATTTGGGCGAGAAAGTGTGGTGGTGAAATTGAATGAACCATCTCACCATGCGACTCCCCCTCTCACACTTACCCGTCCTTCATAGACTCTCCTCAGGGCTTCATATCTGACAGAACCTAAGAAAATTACACCTTGAAATGTACCAAGTTTTTCTTGTGCCACTAACTCCACACAAACCATCTGACCTTCTTCTATCATCATGTCACCAAAAGCCTGAAACAAAAATAACAAAATTAATTTTAAAAATGATTCAAAATATGTCAGTTATATTGGTTTTTATATCCAATCCTGCTTGTTGGGATAGAGAAATATCATATCTCATTTTTGAAGAAAAAAATAATTATCAATCGGTCGTGGTTAGTACTTGCATAGGAGACCATCTGAGAAAACCAGCCTTAGAATTTTTTTTAGGTTTTGCCTTACACATTGAAAAGACAACTACGCAATTTTTATGTATTATTTCCTACTCTAATGTCAAACATTTATTGTAGAAATTTTTGGAAATTATTAGAAATTTTTACATTAGAAACAGTTGTGCACCTACATGAAACAGATTTTGTAAAAAGTTCTCTGATTTTATCTACTACAGCAGTATTAGTAAGATTGGCAGAATACTGACCAATAGAATGATGTGTAACATAAACTGTACAAGCCAGAACTACAAAGTGAGGTGTAGTCAACGCAATGTTAATAACAACATGAATTCAGAAATTCTGAATGCTATACCAATAGGAATGCTGACAATGATATACTAGACAAACGAACAATTCTATTCTAGATATTCCTTTTCTAAGAAACCTATAAATAAAAGAATATGCAATAAGTGTGACACAAATTCAATTGAAGATGAAGAACATTTTCTATTGAATTGTCCAAAATATAACACACACAGGAAAAATTTCATCCAACAAATTATGAAACTACTTTCATCCAACAATAAAAATATACTGTTCACATATATACTTTCAAGCAAAGTTCCTGGCATAATTATAGAACTTGCCAACTAAACTTACACAACAAAAAGATTTATTTAACATTTAAATACACATAGTCAAGTTTTTTTGTTTTGTTTTTTGTACAATTCTTAAATATATCTTGTTATTATTTTAAAATCTATTTTTGCTGTACTTATCCCATGTAAATCTTTTTACACGGAGACAATAATTCATATCATTACCAAATATGGAACCTCTTGGAAGTAACACTTTTTTTTAAATTTCGGTGTAGGATTCTATTATTCTCAAATCAATATACCCAGGAAAGATGATTTTGCTCAATCCTGCACGAAAGCCACAGCCACTATATATTAAAGCCAGCATATTACTTAGCTATTTTAGCTAACATGTATTTTTGCCTCATTCAATGGAGAGAATCTAAATTCCATCCCTAAATTCTCACCAATTTATTGGCAAGATTCATTTTAACCCCATCTCCCCAACAAATGAAGCAATGAGAATCTGGATTCTCACAATTGAACAGTGCGATTACAAAATTCTTGATGTCAGTGACAATATTATCTTATTTCGCTGAAATGTGAGAAGCGCCAGTTTCTTACTCTCATCTTGAATTTTTTGCAGTGAATGTAATAGATGCATAAGAATAAAGATTCTAGAAATATAGTTACAGTCTTGTTACCATGTCGATATCAAATCAAACTCACCTCATCAAAATTATCAATGATAAAATAAATATTTGGATAAGCGACTTCCGCTACTTCTCCTTTGCTGTCCATCTGTCTTTTGCTCGGAGATGCATACACACTCTGCGAATGTTTCTTAATAACGTGGATATCTTTACCAGGTTTTCTACATATTGCACACGTTAAAGTGTACTCAAACTACCAAAGAGATAACAAGTACACATTAAATGAACGCGTTCGAAGAAAGATTCGAGTTTCCAAGCAATTGTGTGAAAAAAAACCCCACTACACCTTGAACTCATTATGAAATGATTATGATGCATGATGGGTAATACTCACCTGCTGTAGAATCAGATTGAGGTAAACACTTTGCTCCCAGTCGATATCAGGGTCCCCTAGGCTAGGTAAAATTTTTGCATCTCTACGAAAAACATCAAGCTTGACCTAAAATAACATTAGAAAATAAACTGGACGTCAGTAGAATCACATTACAGCTGTGAACATGAAATTCAGCTAAGTGTATCATCACAACAATTTTGTCTGTTTTTGAATTTTCTCCCAACTAAATCATGATCAGGAAGTAAACAAAGACTCAAACTATACACAGGAAGTAACCAAGTCAGTTAGGAGAAAAAGAGAGAGCAAAACAATAGCGTTCTAAGACAACGAAATGGCCAGCATATAAGCCTTAATTTTGCCAGCATAAAAATATAAATAATTTTCAGTTGGGGTCAGTTTTGAAATACTTAAAAAATCAGCAGCAGATTGGCATAATTGGAATATGACCATACGTGTACAATTCAAAACTACTGTGACTACTCTTATTAATTCAAAATAAAATAATAACAAATTATATTTGAGAATCAGTGATTCAAAGATTTTGATTTCTTTGTAACCATAGTTATAGTTTGAAATGGTATGAGAATCAGTGATTCAAAGATTTTGATTTCTTTGTAACCATAGTTATAGTTTGAAATGGTATGAGAATCAGTGATTCAAAGATTTTGATTTCTTTGTAACCATAGTTATAGTTTGAAATGGTATGAGAATCGTGTGGTGTGCATATTCATTTCAAGATTCAGCCAGACAGACTTAATGCAGTGCAGTGATATACAGTGACTGCCACTTAGTATACAGACAACAAACCTAACAGGACTTTCAGAAATTTTCCCACCAAAATTTGGTATAACATTTTGTTTATTTTTTTTGTATTTTTATAAATTTTTTCATTTTGGAACAAATGGACATAGTTTTTCATTATCTAATGACCTTGATTAACATTTTTGGGCAAAATTGATAGAAAACTGATTTGATTTTGATATGTTCAAAGATGAAAGCAACTTGATGTATGTTATACCATTTGAGTAGAAAATCAACTTACCAGTACAAATTTTAGAAAACTACAAATGAGTAGTATATTAATAAAAAGTGCGGGAAAAATTTCTAGCAAAGAATATGTTAATAAGCATGCAGACTGGCATGTAGAAAGCATTTACCTTTTCATTCTGCGCAAGACATCAGTGAAAAGCAGAAATTAAATTTAAAAAAAATTAATTATTTAGTATGCAACAAATCCTACAAGAAACATTCCATACCATAAAACAAATTAACTAGTTTAATTTTCATGAAAAATTAATTCTTTCTTTATCTATAAGACTGAATTCCCTTCTGAACTAACAGAACAGATTTTTTTCTAATAAGGATAAGAAAATGGTCTTTAGTTTATTTGTGTAAAGTAATTACACACTGAACATAAGATTAAAAAACAAATTGACAAAAATATTCTCAGATTTCAAATTATCTCTTCATTTTAATGATACCGGTACAATATGGATGAAAACAAACACAAACCTTTTTTTTTATGAACAAATCTGAGAGGTCAAACTTGCTGTTTTCAACAAGAAGTCGAAAATATCACTTTTTACCAAAAAAATGCAGTAAATGTACAGTATTCATTCAATGAATATACAAACAATAAGCACTTATGTGTGTGAAATAATATCACTGTTTCATCAAATGAATACTCAACTATGTGCTATATGTGCTACAAGCATATCGTTTTTAGTTCATGATTTAATATATTCATTATGTATTCTTCTTCATATTGAATCTTTAAGGAATAAAGTGTGGGACTCACATGGAGCTTATACACCAAATAATCACAGATTATCTAGGTATTAAGTTTGGTGAATCATTTACTCAAACTAACTTGATGTAGCAAATACCGGTACATGCGAGCGACAAAATCATTAAAGTTACTTTCAAGTAACACTGTCTAGGTCTTCACAACAAATGTTTATATATTGATAGATTTTTTTTTTTTATTGATATGCTTAACAAAACAAAGATACAATACACAAATACAATACAGGTTACTACACAAATACAAACTTATGCTTCAAAATAAGGAGCCAGATTTTAAGAGATCTGTTAGAAAAGACACAAATTTACAATCAAGCCAACAATTGTCAAAATTCTATGTCATGCTTGGTCATTAATAAAGTACCGTTATGACCATGAGCACCAGAACATGAACCAGAAATCGGAAGAACAATAAGGTAGCAGTAATAGAATAGTAGAATACACTAATGTGTATAGGTTCTAATGACAGTGTTGCATTAAACAAATTATCTCATAAATAATTACGTTCCTGAGGATCATGCTACTATCTTTAATATGCTTGTCATATTGGGTTGAAGTGAACACAATAACAGGAATTTTTTCGTTATACAAGGGAATGGGGCCGCAGCACCCTCATGCCATGGCCATGCGCCCCCTTACCTTGGGAAACAGATCCTCTGGCAACAATAAAATTCTGAATGACCATGTGGCCACAGTCTTCAACTTAGACCTGTCTGAAAGTAATTTTGGCCCCAAGGAAGCCATAGAATGCTCTATTTTAACTTAGAATTATCAAAAACCCCACACCCTGGTAGGGAGAACCCTATCACCCCCACTTGGTGGCGCCGCTGAATTGCAGTGCTCTCTCTTGCAGTTTTTTCTAGATCGGAGCACCTGTAATGTAATTTTTTGAATACAGCATACAGAGCTGTACAATACTACAGAAAGATGTATCATGTAGCACATTTAATGGGGGCCCATACACCATCATAAAAATCAACTGTCCTATGCAAACATTGAAATCAGTTTGAACTAAATTAAAATGTTGTTTCTCCTTAGAATATGTCCAATGCATTAATGGAAAAAGAATTTTTATTAAATATGAGATTAAAATATCATCACAATTGAAACCCAATATTCTATTTTTTTCAAAAAGTTAAATTTTCAGTAATGCAGAAATACTATTACCATAGTAACCAAAAGAAAAAGAAAACTATACATAATTTTATTTTCTGTGAATGAAAATTGAGACGATTGATTTGTGCATGGAGCAATTTGTTTTCATTTTACACTAGTGGTATGGACTCGCATTCATACTCAAGGTACATTTAATCTTTTAAGTTGGTCACAATTTCCTTAAATGATTATAAACTGCTATGCTAAAAGCTTTAAGCGAAGGTCTTTCATTCTAACAAAGAAACGGCAGCAACTGAATTCTTGAAAGAAGTTGTAAACTGTGAATTAGTTTCTGTACATTTGCCTAATGGGGTTCAATCTTGTTAACCTGTGCAAACATGGTTCATTCACAGGTGTCAACACTATTAAACGACTATTAAGTAATACATAAATTATCAAATGAATGGTTCTCAATGAAATGGCATCACTGTACTTGCTCTAAGAGAAGTGTATCTGTGATGGAAGCGCATCATAAACCAAAAATTGCATTTATTGTATTTTGATCATTGAAATATGACTTATTATTATACATCTGTCACAGTTATAGTGTGTCGTAATTTTGCTCCGCTGCGCGTAGGTCCATACTCCCGCTGTACTATCTTCGTGCATATTTTGCGATATCCTCGTAATAACCTCATAGTATGACTAGAAAACACCTTTGACACAAACGACGATTCTAACAATGGTTCCACAGGTGACACCAATCCCCTAATTCAGCAGGCTGAGCAGAGCAGAAATATTTACCTGTACTTGATCTCTATCTATTTCTTCTCTTTTACGAACGTAAAACAACATATCATCCCGTAGTTCATCTATTGATTCTACAAAATGATGTTTGAATAACTGGGTCCAGAAAGAAGTGCTCTCAATCACAACGAACTCCGCAGCTGCAAAAGAATTCAAATTATTAAAAACTTGATATTGCAGGAGAATAAACATTGGGTAACCGAAAGAGCTTTTAAACTATGAACTTCAATACACCTGTTTTTATAAATTGCGCCCTCTAGTGTCAGTGTACTTCTGTGATGTCAAAATGATGTATGTTCTCGGGTGGGGAGCTATGTCACAGAACATTCTACTTTGCTAAGATGCAAACCATTGTACCATGTATTTTTATGGGCAGCTGCTGTGGAACGGCAGTTTAAGAGCCGGGAAAACAGCTCAAGTTGAGAAAACAACACAAACTTAACATTGAAGTAATCCTGAGCAACCAAATTGAGTGTATGCTGCACATGTTGGGGTAATCTTGTTACACTGTTCAGGAGAGTCAACAACTATCCTAAAGTACAGTTTTCTGAGCGTTTTCTGCCTTTGTTTTCACCGTGATGTTTGCCAGGCGGTGAAAATGCCTGGATGTTCGTCCCGAGAGTATGTGTATGTGTGAAATCAATGTGCATTCAAATCAACATCTGTGTTGTGAAGTCATTTATCGTCTGGAATGTAGTAACATTTCTCGAAATCATAATCTTCTTTGATGAATGACGACAGATAAAAATGATAGTGATGCTTTGAACTGCTTTTATGTCACCAAATTACATCACAAAAGTCATTTTGTCACTAGAGAATGCACTTATGATAAAGTTATATTGTATGTATTTCGATCATTTTTCAAAATTCAAAATGGCTGCCAGATGATGACATGATAGGGAAATCACTAAAGTTGTTGTTTCATTGAAACAACATCAGTTACACCCTTCTTATTATTGCTTATTTTTCGTGCAGTTGATTGAATTTTTCACCCAGAAAAACAAAGTATAGTATATCCAGTCTTACAAGCTGAGCCTGTAAGAAAGTTTTTCGGGTTCACCCAGAAGAACTTCCTGTTTTCAGAGTACAATTGAAGTATATGTTTTCAAGCTGATCAACCAGAGTACGTGTATGCTGATATCATTTTTGCAGAACTAGTCATTTTTAATTATCCATTGGAGCAACATGAACGCAAGTCAGCTGGCTTTATCACTAAAATACAGACGGTAGTTTGATCAAGACAGTTTGACGAATATGGTTGAGAACACATTCTATTACTCAAGTATCAGCAAAAGACAAACTACTAAAACATCCACATATTCATGAATACCCCCTTCTTTATTTAAAAAAAATGTAGTTCCTGACATATGGTTTCATTATCACAAGTAAACAATTCATAATTGAACGGATCTTTTTTCACTTTTTCCCATGTATCAATCCACAGCCAAGGTAAAGTAATAACACCTTTATTTAAAAAAAACGTAATCTGTGAGCACAATATTTGCCCCTGTACAACAATAAGCGATCTATTTCTAAAGTAGCAGCAATTTCATGAAAGCGTATTGATCAACCTTAACTACTATCTAGAGATATTTAAGTAAATTTTTAAATCACCGCGGCAGACATGCTGACTACTGTGCTAGGATTCAATACACAAATTGAACAGATTAGAATTCCACTGGGTTATGGCAAACAACTTTATATTAAAGTAATTTAGGTAACGGCTTTTATGTGATACAAGTGCCCGATCATGATGAATTAGATGAATTGTTTGTTTCAGGGACAAACTAAAATTATGTTACACTGCACATGGCTGTTTTCAAATTTGTCTTCAAGTACTAGTACTTGCTTAAAAAAAAAGTATATAATGTTTTGAGTTCACTCAGACTCGATGGCTACACAAGTAAAATAGACTCGTCCTATAAATCCCCAAATGACGAGTCTAAATCCTGCAGAGGGACAAGCAATCACAACAGACGAATAAATTTTAATGGAAAATGTTGGATTCTAACTATGTAATAAAGACGTTTCCTAAACGCCAGAAATTTACAAGTGCGATTTAACCACTTACTTACACCCTTGGCGAATAACCACAGACAAATTGAACTGTATGATAATTTAAGGATATTTGCACAAGAAAATCTGACCCTGACATCTTGCGTATACCATAACTGCTAATTTGGTATTCAACATATACATGTAGCACTTTCTGAGCTTAGTTTTTAACAGCCAAATCAAATTTTGAATAATAAACCTCCATAACGGATGGCATCATTAAAAACACATTTCGATCGCCATTAGACAATAACTAAATGAAATGTGCTTATCATAACACAAAATTCAAGGGCTAAGAGTTCAAATTCCTTAGCCCGTGCTAAGAAAACGTGCGTGAACGCTTAGCATGGGCTAATGAATGCTAAGTACGGGTAAATTCTGATCTGTGGCGACCTTTGAGTGAGAATATTATACATGTGATCAAATATATGCAACTTTCTCTTCCAGGAAAATACCTGCTTTCACACTGATCAGGTCGCTGTAGTAGCGTGTACAGCAGCTCCAATCGTAGAAAAAATAAATTTTATTCGCTGTCAACAACATGCATGAATAAAACTCTGCATTCTGTATACTGCCGTTGTATACTGTTTCTGTGCATTCAAATAAGTCGAGTCCATATTCTCTCGCTTTCCTGTGCATGTTGCTTCAAAATTAGAGACATGTCAGCAGCAGAAATTTTGCATTCATAAACAGCAGCTTAACAAAGGTGACTGATGCCGTCCCTTAGCATGTGCTAAGGACTGGCCCTCCCAATGCATGGACGCAATTGGATCTAGTTGAAATGCAAACATGTGAGATAAGCTTAAATCTTAGCCCGTACTTTGTGTAGCGTGAACACGACTAGTAATCTACGTTGTGTGTTTGGTTGTGTGCTTAAGACATATCAACACATGAAACTGTATTACATTATTTGAAGCGTGATTCAAAAATACATTAAATAAAATTTCTGGTGAGTATGATAAAGTAGTGAATACATCATGACTCACTGCTAGGGAAACTAATTAGAGAACTTGTCTGCAAAAAAAAAAAATCAATATTAATTATAGGAAAGGCAAATACTGTGGAAATAACTACTACGGCGTGTAGGTCTTCTCAACACTTTGAACGGCATCATTTCTGCTGGGGAACGTTTTGTTGTAAAATTTTGGTCATACATTGTATTTATATATTTTTCTATAACTTTGCTAGAAAAAATGTACATGTTTTTTCATTGGCTTGATTTATTTTGGTGATAGGTGTTTCATAAACATGGACAGAGGTGTATATTTAGAAAAGACTAAAGAAATTATCATTATATAAATGTGATGTCAAAGCTATTACGTTTGTTCACATGATACATCACAGATAGATACCAAATTGTCAATTTCAAGGGTGTTCATTCTGGAAATAGACCTGTGACTACTAGGGTCGTTTATTATTTCTTTGTATTGTAACCTAACTGAAAAAATAATAACAATTTGCAGCTAGTAGGGAATTATACCCATTTGGTTCAAAATTATCAATTTTTTTTACAAAAATACATAATTTACATAATAATAAGCAACATTTTGATGGGAAAAACTATGGCATTCATACATCTATTACATCATTTAGTGAACATTACAGTCTAAACTAATCTGAAATTACTGTAAGATCAAGTTGAAAATCATTATACTGTGTGTTTGAACAGTGACAGTACGAGAAGAAATACAAAAAATAAAAATCAGGACACGGTACAATTTTGACATTAATTTCGTGACAAGTTACATTAATTTCTCACTTACTGTTAATGAAGCAGATTTCTAATAAATATGACTGACAGTTTCTTTCGAAAAAATAATTACGCTTATTATTAAAAAAAAAAATCACTGAGATGACATGTTCAATTAACATAAATAAGCGTTCAATGCAGAAACATACAGAGTTGTTTCTCTGTGTTTTTTTGGGAACAGCACAGAGATGACCAAGTGCTAAAATGTTATTATTTGATAATACTGTTTTATGGAGCTGGTTGATATATTGTCGTTCAGGACTGCATAAATCACTCTGCTATGGCTTGGTGTTAATACAATACATATGAACTTAAATGATGCTTAAGCTGTCAGTTGATTCAGATTTAGGTTATTATTCATTCCGGGGGGGGGGGGGGGGCAAATTGTGCGATGATACATGCATAGTACATGTATATATAGCATTGGAAAACTTAAAGAGCAGGCTACAATATTGAATTGTTCATGAAAACCATATTTTATGAAATTTATAAAAAGTACAATGAGTAGTACTTTCAGTCTCTACAACATGAAAATCAATCTGACATCTGGAATCTGAATCAGGGTCAATTTGAAAATCTTCATTGACATAGCTACATAAAAACAAGCTAGCAATTCTGGAAAATTCACTCATAATATTATTCATGATAGTTCTGCCAGAGACGTAAACGCAGCACAATGTAATTCAGTGTTCGTATAAATTGGATGTGATCAACAAATGTTGATTTCCACCGAGTAAAAGTAAAATTTAAAAATAAAATACATGTAATATGATTCTTTCATGAGTTGACAACAGTGCCCTTCATTTTATATACTTTTGAATGAAGCACAAAGATCAGTACCTTATTATTACAGTGAGCGCAAGATATTTACATACACCTAACTACCGCACCCGGTAGGCAATTACCAAGGGGCTTTGCAACATCCCCAGACACTTTTCTAGACACTCCAATGACCATTGTAGACACAATAAAGTTACATACCCACTCACGTGACAATTAATCAAAACACAGGGCGTGGTATGCATTTGATGTGTGGCCGGAGGGAGGAGGGATAGTTGGTGTATTCCATTGCTTTGTAGGTACAAAAATTATTGCTGTGTAACGCTTGGAAGAAATATAATACAAACATAAAACTAGGAATAAATATTAACAACAAATGATAAATGTAAATTCCTTTGATTGGTAGTTTGTTGAGATGTTGTCAATGGATTTATATTAAAGGAAAGGTCAATCCTGTCAGTATTGTTGGCCATGTAGCAGCAGTTATGTACACTTATTTAAATAATGGACAAAACAAATTAAAAAAAGAAAAAATTGATAGAGTTATGATACCATATAATATTCTATATAGTCGCCGCCATCTTGGCAATTTTCAAGCGCCCTCTATTGGGTCAGACGAGAATGCAAGCAAGATTTTTTTGTCTACTGTGACGTCAAAGGCTAGGTTAATTAGTGTCCAACTTAGGGGGTTACACAATGTATAATGAAGAGAAAAGTAATCACTAAGAGAGTCATAATTCATCGCGCAACTTTCAAGGGAGTGATGGCTGTCTGCAAATACACTACACTACACTTTTTGCCCAACCTTCCGCTTTTACAAAATAGAATTCCCTTCTATCGACTATCAGCAATCTAACATGTTTGTATTTTCCGCCGTGACAAAGCAGGAGTATTTTTGCACCCCTGTTTTGCTACTTCCGGGAAAGTGGTATATCGACTGCTTACTGCTTAATTTCCGACCACGCGGTTTTGTCCGACCAGAAATTGACCGCATTTTAATCGATATTTTAGCTCGCTGGCTCGCTCATTGAAAACATCGTCCGCTTGCCCAAACACTGATCACTATTACATGAGTGGTCGAATTGGTGGTTTTGATAGTAAAGTATGAAAACACTATTATTAAATTTTGAATGACACTTCATATCTATAGTTGTACGAAACTTGTATCATCCGAGAAAGCAACTGCACTGGAACCTCCTGTTAGGTTATTCGGGTGCTTGTTCTAAATGTAATATTTTTATTTTATTTTAATGAGACAGTTACGTGAAAAAAAGATAGCTAACTCCTTTTGACAGAGCGTTGAAACGAGGAGAATATTAATGATTAATCCCAAAAATAACGATACCAAAATCACTTTGGTCCACAGGCGGTTGATATGGTAACATTTGACATTCAATTTTCAAAATTAAGTCATGATCAGTGTCGTAAATTATTCCCACAAGATAATATTTTCGAATAAAACGGCTACATGCCCGGAAAAAATCGAACAGAGCTTGACATGTATGGATAATTTATTGGGCTTCAGAAAAAAAAAACGTGTCAAATTTAATTATAGTCATAAATATTTGGTGACCAGTCGATGAACAATTCGAAAATCATGATTCACACGCGAAAGTCCTTCGATACTGAAAATCATCGACACTACTCTGGTTTACCTTATTTCAAAACTTGCAAATAAAACTGATTCGCCGTGAACTCTAATATATCTCAGCCTATTTCTTTTCTTTTTGAACTGTGGTCAAATCCCAGCCGTTTGTCAAAATATAAGGATGTTTTTCATTAAATATTTTTAAAGCCTGTCACAGCACAAAAAGTATGTGAATCGACACCGGAGATTGGATGGTACGACGACCCTTCAATTAACATCAAATATGCTTGGTTACAACATCATTGATTGGCTGAAAGTCACCTGATCGGAGTGCGACCTGAGTCACAGAGCCATATACAGGATAGAAAGAACCACACCTACATTTTCAACCACTTTTAGCGCGGAAATTGCCAGCATCTGTCGAAAAACTCGTGAATGTTATGGATCCGAATAAAATAAAGCTAGCGATTTCTAAGAATGGTTATTAATATATTCCCCAATGCTCTTCGAATTTATATATTTGTTTATTTCAAGGTAAGAAACTGAATGGCAAGTTGAAGTTGCATCGACTTCAAGGCGGCGGTTTCACTGTTGTAGTTTCGCGATATAAAATAAAATTTATATAATAAGAATACTTGTTTAAATACTTGCCCCAAAAATATGGGACATGATCACCACGAATTATGGTCAATGTTTGTCCTGACTAGGACCAACGCTTTTCTTTCACTCAGTCCATGCATGGAACTGCCATTTAAATTCGTGGTCCTTCAGCTTGTCTTCGCCTTGAGGAAAACAACAATACTTATACAAGTCTTAAACACATTACGAAGACTCAACAATCAGGAAAGAAACACCAGACAACCATGTCGTACTTGTGTTGAAACACATTTTGTATTTTACGTCAGAATATTATTTAAAATAAAATATTTAATCCCAGCCAAATCGAGGTCAAAGGGTCAGATTGCGTGCATATAATTACAAATAGTTAAAACAAAAAGTATTTGAACTTTTGTTGGCTGTTCAACATCTATGAAAACCAGAAAGACAATTATAAGACAATGTGAACCTTGGAATTTTTTTTGTTTGAATCTTAAATGCGAGCGATATTTCCGGGTTTGCGCGTTCGAAAATAAAGCGGAAATTGTCTGGTCGAATTCAACAAGCGGTTGCAAAAGCGAGCGAAAAAAAAAGCGATTGGAAAGCGGAAGCGAGCGGGAGGTTGGGCGAAATGAGTACTGTACTATGGATGCTCAAATGAACTAAAAAAACGCGAGAAAAGGACAACACTCTTCAAAAATATAAACCACAAACTGCAGTACTCAATGAACTCACTATGGCTGTCCCTCAACTGAACCTAGCCTAAAACGTCACAGAAATGCCCGGATGTAGTATGTTAGTATGTTAATTCTTAGCTACTGTTCGTTGTTTCTTATCTCCATGAACGGCATCCATGGGCTAATTCAAGACATGTTTAAAAGTCGCCCACAACCACAAGAATAATGAGAAAAAATTAACATGGATACAAAGCTGTTGGAAATGGTTATTATGATCTATACAGCCCACAATTTTTGCCACCTTGACCTACACTTTAATAATATTTGCGATGTGAGTGTTTCGTTCAATATCTCATATAATGGCTGGTCCTATTGCCTGTTTGCCAGAACACTCATTGCCCAGTCAATCTTTCCCTGGAATCTTCTACTTAGTTTCACTTCCACACCGTCACCATACATGTATACCAGTTTCAAATATCCTTCAGATCTCAGACAAAATTCGATAAACTCGACGATTTTGTGTGTAACCTTCAGTCAACGATGGTCGCTACTCGTCTCGTAGCGTATCCAACCGATGCAACAGAAATGCCGCACAATCCCATGAATCATTAAGCTCAATACTCGAACCGTTGCTCTCGTTAAACCAACTTCCTCGGCGAACATTCGCAAGAGACAAATAATCTCCATCTCAGTGTCTTTATCTAAATGCTTTGACAAATAGCAATAATTGTATAGTCAATGATGAGTTCAAAATCAGAAACTGCATTCAAAAGTAAACTGTTCTCACAAGGATAAATTTAATTCAGGTAATTTCATTATATGTTAGGGGCGTTTTTAAATATTTGTATCAACTAGATTTATTATTTTCGCGACACGTTCAAAATAAAATTTATTAAACGTAGGAGCATACGTATGTAAGAAATAATACAGTGTCCGATATCAACAATGAGTAAAACATGACTGTTTGATGAATGTTTGACTGGACGCTTACATGTTCTAATAGTTGAACCCATCTCAAACCCTGGTCCGTTGTTTTGATTAACTGTCACTGTAACTGTAGACTCAATAAAGTTACATACCCGGCTAGGGTATGTAACTTTATTGAGTCTACAACGGTCACTGGATCGTCTAGGAAAGTTCACAGTCCCTCTGGGACTGTGGAAAGTGTCTGGGGATGTTGCAACGTCCTTCGGTAATAACATACCAGGTGCGGGAGTTTGGTGTATGTAAATATCTTGCGCCCGCTGTAAATAATACACATAATAGTCCGACTATAGCTGCAGTTCGTAGACCTCTTGAATGTCAGAACTTGTATACGAGCAAAAACATATTTCAAAAAAAGCAAAAATCATTTTTGAGTTGCGAAATCAGAAATATTTTGCTTGCAATATGGTGTATCAATTGCACATAAAATTTATAATGTAAACAAAAATCATGATTGACTTGTTTTGATTGAAAAAAAAATCGTATTACTGATCGATATATTAATATAAAATACTGTCTAGTAAAAAAAAAATGCGTGGGAACTGTGTTTAAACAGACACCATTGCGAACCCGATAAAGCTATCACGTGGACACACTGAGCTTATTGACGTACCTGCAGCCGGTGAGGGAAGTGACAACCAGCTGGTTGCACTACTTCCTTATTCTAACAACTCGGCCTATTTTCGTGGAAAGCGTAATCAAATATGGCGAAACGTAGCAAAAATAACTATACAGAAAAGAGGAAGACGTAAAGTAGTTGGACACTCACCCTCTTGTTCATTTCTGTTTCTTCTCTCGACGATTACAGAGAGCATTTTACTCACAGAACTCTGTCTTCGGACCCTCGGCCCTGCGGCCGCCATTTTTTTTCGACTGTAACCTTTGCCCTATTATAACACCACGTCATCACAATCGTATCACCGATTGCATTTAATTATGGATCTACGTAAATCGTAGATTATCGCGCGAAACAGACTTACCATATGGTAAGATTTTTTTCAGAATACTGGGCTATAAAAGGTCGATATGCGAAGTCCACGCGGGAAGCCCATTTTTACGTGAACATCAACTCATACACAGCTCAGGGTTGAACCATTTGATATACGGGGGTGTGGGCGTGGCTGTGATGATTTAGTTATGGCAGGGCAGGTATAGTTGTCGTGTGATATTTATTATCACTTGTATATACACCTGACTGTATGTAAACCCACTGCAGCCGCATTGTTTAAACAATACACCTTTCCTCGCACACACACACACACACACACACACTGTGAATATGTGCCGTCCCGGTTCCGTCGTAGACTTCATGGCTGCATCTTGTTCATAGTGTTTGTTTCAAAATGATGTAAAATCGGGCGAACATATGAATAAACACAAATTAAAATCGCCTTTAAAACACAATAAATTAGCATACCCATGCCGTGCAAAATTTTTGTTTTCCTTCTTCAAGTTTTGTTCTATTTTTTTTCTCTTTTCCATGATTATTTTTGGCCTCACTAAAAATAGAACTGACGTAATCATAGAGGGCAGTACAGCGAGGACAACACACGTGCAGTCAATAAGGACCTTTTCCATCTAAGCTACGTTACTTTGCTGTGATTTCGTTTATTTGTTGTAAATTCCAAGTAAATGTATTGCCTGAACAAACTGAAGCCCTTGAGAAATTATTTCAATGCCACGACAATTATATATACGCGATTTTAATTTTTGTTTATTCATTTGTTTGCTCGAATTTACATCATTCAGAAACAAACTCTTTACAAAAAATGCAGCCAGGTTGTCTACGACGGAACCGGGACGGCACATATTCACAGTTGCGGCTACAGTGGGGTTGTATACAGTCAGGAGTATATAAAATAATTATTTTTAATAGTTAAAAACAGACGTTTATATGTAATAAGTTGAACACCGGGAAAGGGGCACGCAGGTACTTGTGTGAATGTGAAGCCGAGATGTGAAGCTAGCGAGCACTAATCTGTCGAACCTTATTCTCAGGAGATGCTGAATTGATCGAGTTAGGGACATTTTTCAGTGTTCAATTAACAGAAGTACTAGTTACGGGCAACCTATATTTTTGTTTTTGTTGGACGTTTAAAAATTGTATGTTGCCCGTAACTCGAAGTTCTGTTAACTGTTAATTGAACATCGAGTTACAACTTGGGCGTGGTTTCGCAACAACAAAAAAATGGGCGTGGTTTCTGAAATATGGGGGTGGTTATTTATTGTACCTCGATGTTTTAGTAAATTGATGTTCGTACCTCGATGTC